CGACAGCAAAAACAATGCTATGGTGGGGCTGGCTTGTGCAGCAGTGCATGCAATCAAAACTGTGCACAGAAGTATCTTGGTGGATCTGGATTTTGTGAGAGCCTTGGCAACACTAGATTGTGCAAATGTCAATATCCATGCTAATTTTTTTTTAAATGTTGGAATAGATGAAACAAATCAATAAAACGGAATCAGTTTAATTTGATATTTTTATTTAGATGATAGTAATTAGATAGGATTTTTGGACATTAAAATAATGCTAATTATTACTCTATTCTGCATCACCTGGTTCTAACTATAAACATGGACTCTACTTCCTCCACTTCGGAAAGTATGAACTCAACCATTTACCGACGACGAATATTTCACACTATTGTGTCCAGACATTATCTTTTTGGTACATATCATCCATGTAGCAACCCGGGCCTGGCCCAACTTGAGACCCATTTGAAGAGGTCCAAGAAGAGGGAACCCTAGGTCAAACCCCCCTCACACCCTATAAAAAGAGTTGCCTCCCTAGGGTTGAGACACAAGAGAGTGAGCAAGCGAAGCCCTGCCGGAACAAGACCCCGCCGCCGCCCTCGCCTCACGCCGTCGACCAGCCGCCGCCGCCTACCGCCGGGAGCCGCCGCGCGAGAAGCCCTAGCCGCCGGATCCGAGCCCCGAGTCGCCGTCTTCGCGATTCCGTAGCGTGTAACCATCTAAGATCCGATCTCTAAGGTAAGGGCTGGAACCCTAATCTCCTCTCATTCTAAGAGTGACAGATCTGAAACCTAAACCCCCTTCTTCTCACTCTTATGTCGGGAAAACCAGATCTGCGTTGTTGGACCCTTTCTTCTTCTTCCCAGATCCAGATCTACGTCACCAAACAAGCTAAGGTGAGGACTTGGATGTGAACTTGTCTCATGTTGAGTAATCCAAGGGGGCATAGTCTTTTGTTAATTAGATCTAGATCTTGTTGTGTGAATGAAGTGTTATGTGATAGTTCTAGGTTGAATGAGAAGTGTGCTATGTGTTGATGTGATGAACGCTTAGAAATGATAGAATGAGAATGAACAAATGTGAAGTGATATGATAGTATGACTGTAAAGTGAGTTGAGTCTAAGATTAGACGGATAAGAAAGTTAATGAGAATGAGTATGAGTAAAGAAAGAGGATGAGGATGTGAATGAGAATGGTGTATTGTTAATGAACATGTTCTAAGTCCTGTTTGGGCCACCGAGAACGGGTGGGCGTCTAGAGTCTAGGATGTGTTGGCCCAACGGAGGATGTTCCCGTGGGCGGAAAGTGAAAGGCCGTGTACGGACGGCGACCGCTGAGGCGGGGTAAAGTTAGGAATAGGCGCCTTAAGATCGAGTCAATGCCGAGTCGTGGCAAATTGTGACCATCTGACCATGTACGGACGGGAGCCGCGGGTAGACAGTGTTGCACGTGGGCCTTCGGGTGACGCACGTGGACCAACGAGCTCCCCGCGGGTGGTTACTAGGAAGCTGGAGGGGGGAAATGGTTTCTCTTAAATGAGCACCCCTTCCAGGATAGGTCGGAACGGGTGTGGGACATCCGTAAACGGCCATAGGTCCTAGAGGTCTAGGTGCTTGCTATCGAGTTAGTCTTGTTTGTTGCATAATACATCCTATTAACTTATGACTGTGTTGATTGGTTGTTCTTCTTGAGTTGAGTTCGTGGGTTCCCGGAACCTACCCTCACTGAGTCGTATGTACTCACCCCTCCTCTTTTCAGGTATGGCCGAGAGGGAGCAGGAGTAGGAGTTCGTGTGGTGCAAGCATTTCAACACTCGTTTTTCTTTATTTCTTCCAGTAGTTCTTTTAGTTATTTGAGATCTTTCGAAACTCTCGGATGAACGGTTTTCTTTTTAAGTTGAGAACGGAGTATGTTAGACGATTTGAGTTTTTAATAAAGTACGTTGGATAAAATGTGGAAAAGTCAAGGTTTTACCTAGAATCCTAGGGACAGGGTTGTTACAATCCATCCAGCTTATAACTCTAAAACATATGAAGCATTAAGCATCCATCCAGCTGCATGAGACTTGGATAGTTCCGGAATCCGACCACAACTTTTATTCAACAGATCGATTACTTAGCCATAAGTGGACTTACCAAAGGAACAACAATGGGCTTTAACCAGTGGTGGTAGCCTAGTGGCGCTTGAGGGAATAAACCCAATAAAGCGAACCCGGGTTCAAACCCCACTGGCCACACGGATATGGGTTATTGCTTTCGACCTATTTGAATGCCCAGGAGAGGGTCTATCCGTGGGCTGTACCTCCACCCGGGGGTTAGGTCTGTGTCTTTAATAGACCCGGGTTTAACCCTTTCCAGTTCAAAAAAAAACAATGGGCTTTCGATGAAAGCGCAACTAAAACTACTATTTATATCCTGATATAAACTTTTGAGACAAACATATCTATAACATTATTTGAGAAGTAAATTTGCTTAGTTGTCAACTTCTCCATGATTTTAGGTTATTTTACTTATTTTCATGTTTTAATAATTTATTATAAAATAAAAACGAATTTATGTTAATAATATTATATTTTTAGAAAATATGTTAATTATTTTGTATTAGATTGTTATCTTAAAATATATTTTCAATTATAGAATTTAAGTGAATTTGCTGATTAATTTGTAACTTTCACGTTGAAAGTTAGAGCGGTTAATATCGTTTATATCCTTAATGAATAATTAAAATTTTTAATATAATTCAATATAAATAAAAAAGAATTTCAATGATTTTAGATTTATCTTTATCTAAAAATATTTTATATTGGGTTATAAAGTCTTTATTAACCTTTAAAAATAATTACATTAGTTAATATATAATTAATTATAAATTAAAAACGAATTTCATTTATTTGATAATTATCCTTATTTTAATTTTTTTATATTATGGGATAAAGTCTTTATTTTGAAAAATAATTATATTTGTTAACATATAATTAATTCTAAATTAAAAAATGAATCTCATGAATTTGATAATTATCTTTACCTAACNAAAACTAATTCTATTTGTTAATATATAGTTAATTATGAAAAATCAATTCGCAAAGAATTTATGTATAGATAATTTATATTGTGCTATCCAAAACATTATTAAAGATAATTTTTTATACTTTTTTGTTATGTCTACAAAAGATATTAATTTATTACTAACTGTTTTAAGTTCATGAGTATTTTCAAATATAAGTTGTGTATGAAAATTATTTATATGATGATGAAAAAAATATATATAGAAAGAATTTGTTTAGTTTATTATTAAATATTTTGAGTCTACGAACTATAATTTATTATAATTTACATAAATTGATTATATATTGATTTATAGATATTAGTAAAATTATTAAGCCCGCAAGTGCGGGCAAAACACCTAGTATATATATATATAAACCTTTTTTTCAAAAAAACATTATATATATAAAGACTTAAGAAATAATATATTGTCGACACCAAAATAATATAGCAAATTGCAAAGTCAGCTTTAATTTCTTTTATGAATTTGAAACGTATTTTTGTAGAGGCCAAATCTGCATGTAACCAGGGAAAAAGGTCTACGTCATGGAGGTGGATGTTGCCTGTAGATCGACATGCAAATTAAATGCTGCAGTCAGATTATTTCTAACCTATTTTATCATTTTTATAATACATAAACTCAAACAATATAGATAGATTGTTTCTTCAGTTTTTCATTCTATAATAGATGAATGTTATATTTTCTCTTACTATGAAAGAATGTTATTCTTTATTTTTATATTTTGAGGCAAAAATATGATTTATTTATACTATTAAAAGTATAGCATTCATTTATTATAAAGCAACACATTGAAGTAAATTAGACCAAAAAACACATTATACTATTTGTTTCTTAAATTAATTTTTGTATATGAATATTTCTTAGTCTAAATAGAATAATGATAACCAATACAAAAGATATTTTCTAAAAAATATTAAATTATTATAACTATTTTAGTATTATTTTATTTTCTGTAATGGAAAAATTAAGATCAGTATCTAGATTTTTGGATGATTTTGCATCATCAAAGTCAAATCCGCATTTAAACCAAATCTGATCATATTGGTCTGGTTTGGTATAAGATTGGACTTGGTATGGTAAGGTGTTGGTTTTAATTTGGTTTGAATTATATTAAATATATATTGGATACGAAGGACTTAAATGGTTATGCATATATTTTTGGATGCGTCTCAGCTTCTGTTGGATGTGAGAATTTTTGTTGATCACTGTTTGTAAGAAAACAAACTAAAGTATATCGTGTCCTACAAAAATTTAGCAAATCGATTCATTTCCCGTTTCAGAAAGCCCGTCCACAAACCAAAAGTATGATAAGAATAGTTTTGTATAATAATCGGATATTGTAGTAACAATAATCAAAGAAATCCGACTGGTTTACAGTTTCATCAGCTGATTCTAGCAAGAGTACTCGCATTCGCACAAATTAATATTAACAAGCGTGAGACAAGATCCATGTCCAGCAAGATACTTTTTTGCACAATTCATATTACAGCAGTTCCGATCACAATCCTCAGAGCAGAAACCAGCCCCACCATAGCACACTTTAGAAGGTCTGCACTGGTACAAGCATGTGCACTTCCCATTCGTACATTTGACTTGAACTGATGGTCCGTATTTGGCCTGGCATTGCGGGGCACAGTTCTTATCACAAGGGCCTAGAGTATCAAGGCATGTTGAAGCTCTACTCTGATTTACAACTGCAACATTTGTATACATTATTAAAAATATTTCATTACACATATTATATAGAACTAGGAACTTAATTATTCATTAGAATGTATACAGCGGTATTTATACTGATTACAATAGTTATTCTAGGAATGATGTATTTACATAAAGACCCTTATCTACATATCCTCTACATATTATTCTCGATGTACATGTTAGATATATACATTTGTAATGATTTTCACATAATATATCTTACATCCCTTATCCTTATAAAAAGTAATCCTTCCAAAAAGCCATCATATTACAATTACACTAACATCCTTTTTTTTTTTTTCTGAAGAAGTGATTCTTGGCAGTATCAAAATTTGTTATTGTGATCACGTAATCATATTAGAAACTGTAAGTTTATCGAATATATGTAAAATAATACCTGAAGTAAACATGATAAGAACAAGGAATATAAGTGAAGTTGTCCTCTGCATTTTTTTCACGTTTTCTAGTTTTCTTCTAAACCTCTTTCTCTGGGGTAAACTGTTTGTATGTCATTGGGGAATATTAAATCATTTATTTTATAGCAACCTAAAGATTTCAAAATAAATATAATTTGAGTCCTAAAATCACTCTTAGAATCTATAATAGATAGTAAAACTTCTACAAATTAATAATGTTGGGATTTTAAAATTTTATTAATTTATAGAGATATTAATTTCTAAAAAAAAATTTATTTAGATTTTTTTATTTATGTATTTTTTTTGAGCAATAAGATAGATTTATTCTAAAATAAGAAAAATATATGATGTTAATGTATAGAGATTAATTATTATCTTTTGAAATTTGATATTTCTATTAATTATATCATATTATTTGGTGTGTATAATATATATTACATAGAATTTAAATTTAATTTTAGATATATATTACTAAATCTCATCAATATATATTAAGTATTAAGAAAATATAAAGATAT